AGTGGGTTTTTGTGTGTGATTGTGCGTGAAAGAGAGAGAGAGAGAGAGAGAGAGAGAGAGAGAGAGAGAGAGAGAGAGAGAGAGAGAGAGAGAGACAGACAGACAGACAGACAGACAGACAGACAGACAGACAGACAGACAGACAGACAGACAGACAGACAGACAGACAGACAGACAGACAGATACTGTATGTTGGTCACGACATATGAGCAAATACTCAAGGTCTCTCTCTCTCTCACACACACACACACACACACACACACACACACACACACACACACACACACACACACACAAACACACATACACATACACATGCACAAACAAACAAACACTCATACACATAAACACACACACACACACACACACACACACACACACACACACACACACACACACACACACACACACCCACATCCACCCGTGTGCTTGCGCTTTCATACTGCGCGTGTGTGCAATCTTTATTAATATGTCTATCTATTTGCTGAGACAGGCAAACAAACAAACAGACGCACACACACACAAAAGATACAGACAGGCATACAGTCACCTACCTTTCCTTTAAACTTTTTAAATCAGCTTTTTCTTGTGAGGCCAAAGGTGGTGAGCGTCTTTCAGCGCTGTTAGAACAGACCAACCAACAAACAAACAGACCACCATACACACAAACATAACATACAAAACAGACATACAGACACCACTTACCTTTCCTTTAGACCTTTCAAATCAGCGATTTCTTGTGAGGTCAGAGGTTGCAAAGCGTCTTTCAGCGCTGTAAGGATGCCTGTGTCTTTCGCCAATGACATCATGAAAGCAACACTGCTGCTGTTTACCACATCTGTAATTCGTGCACTGTACTCCTCTGCCATGCTGAATTCAGTTAATTAGAGCTACACACGCTTGGGTTTTGATTTTTCAGTTTTAGAATCTAGGCGTAAGCAAGCCCACTTTTCAAATGCATGTACTCGACACGTAGGAGGACGTTTTCAGGACACAACGTTGACCAAGTTGGGCGACGAAGTAGTTCAAAATATAATGTCTCGTTCAAGGGGAAAAAAAAGCCCGGAGAGAGACCAGTGGCGGTGGGTAGTGAAGGGCTCACGGGCTTGAGGCCTTCCTCCCCCCTCCCCACCCACTACCCCCAACTCTATCCCAAAGTAAACAAAAGTTTCTCCATATTATACTGAAATAAGCAGTTGAAACCGTTATGACCGCACGCAATGAACACAGAATGATCAACTTGGCGGCTTGCTCGTTTATCCAATCACTGTTGTCACCGCTTACAACAATAGTAACCCAATAGCCAATCAAATGTCTTTAGGGCTCAGCAAAGGATGAGCCCTTTCTCACGGCCCGCCCTTAATGAAACTCCTCCAGTAAAAAAGGTAAAATACATTAAAAAAGAACACTGTACTGAGGGCTCAGGCTCTCCTATCCCTGACAATGGGGTGAAAGTTTACGACACACTTTCCCCCTCTGACACAAATATCTATGCGCTCATTGGTTCTTTGTTAGGTGCGTTCAACTTTCTCGACTACACGGCCTAATCCAGCTTATAGAAGCAATATGTTTGAAGTGCTGTGTGTGCATGTTTGTGTTTGTGCCGCTGAGATTTAACAGTTATAAATCAGGTCGAACTACTCCTAAGGCAACTTTTACTTCACATGAAAATTAATTAGAGGAAATTTGGAACCGTCACTTACGCCATCCAGATTGCATAGCAAATTAGGCTACAAAACGATTGTGATGAAGAATGCAAACATTTTATTCTAAACTGATCTATAGCAGGCTCCATGAAAGAAAATGGTTTAGGCACAAATGGATCCCATTTCCCAAAGAAAGTTTCTTTGCCTCAATTTTTACTCTGGCACGACTCAAGCAACATTATTGTGCATCACTTGCAGTGGGATGACTACAACAACAACAAAAGAGGGCAAAATGTAAGCACCCACAAAGGATCATCTATATTATTATTACCCGTATCATAACTTGAAAGGTAACGATGACGAGAAAACAACCCAGAAGGAATTGAATCACCAGAAAGCAAATTTTTTTAAAGCGTTAACCGACTAAGTGTTTCTTGTTGTAGATCTAAGTATCAATCAAAGGTAGCTCAAAATTTGAAGCCAGTAATAGACTGAGGGAATATTTTGATACCGTAAGCAATCAGCTGCCAAAGAACAAAAGTAACCGACAAGGATAGACTATCTGTTACTGTAAGATAAGTGACCTTCCAATTGAAGTCAAAAGATTATACATGTAGTAACCCAAAACGACATAAAAGTCAACAATCAAAGGGTTATAACTATTCAAGAATTTCGGTCTTGGTCCAAAGTTGTTTTACGCATGTGGTAAAGACAAGTGACAAGAATAATGTAACAACAGGCAAGTTTGATGGAAAGAGAGGCAGAGGGAGACAGGGGGAAAAGATACTGGACAAGATGACAACATGACTAGGAGCAGCAAGAACAACAGACACCATTGCTGCAACACAAGACAGAGTGAAGTGGCGGTCCATGATCGCCCACGCCAGTCAGTAATAGACTGAGGGAATATGATGATACCGTAAGCAATCAGCTATTGCGTTCAGGCAACTTCACGACAGGTTTTTCCCCGACACAAAGCGAGCTCAGGTCCTGAAATTTCTCTGTCGAGATGTAATTAAGTCTTGTGTTCAGTTTGTGAAGAGTGTGGTCTTTTACGGGCTTCTTCAGTCTTTTGAGACAGAGAGATTTGAACTGAGTGTCGAGGTGGCTTGTTTTTATGAAGATTGTATCTGGGAGACTTTTTGTGACTCGAATCTCCATGATACTGTTCCAGTTTATTTCACCCGCATCTGAAGCTTTCTTTGCCTCCATAATGCGGAGATCCTTTGACAAGGTCTTGAAGTCAAAGAAGTCATCCCACTGCAAACTGTGCACCTTGTACGGTTGCTTCGGTCGTGCCAGAGCAAAAATTGTTATTTGCTGCGATGGAAGGAACAAGTCTCACGCAATTTTCACTGTATGCCCGATGGCGCTATGGACAGAATCACCCTCATTTTGAACGTGATTCGTCTCGAAAAATCTCGAGATTCCTCTAGGTTTTTGCTTCTGCTCAACGTATACAGCAAGAAGGCAGGGGTAATGGAATTCTTATTCTGGCCAGTGAAGCCATCTGAGAAAAGGTAGGCTTTCTTTCTGCCTCTTTCGTCATAGAAATTCAGGGCACTGTACACTGATGTTTAGATTTTGGATGATCCGCGCTTACTCATTGTTTCATCTCATTTAAAGCAATGGCAATTCTTGTCCCCAATGTTGTAAACTGAAAAGTTGTAGTTGTAGAAGATTGCACTTTCTTGTGAGACAGGCAGGTAGATAACCTGCTGAAGGTCAAAACTGGCACACAGAACAGTTGCATCCCCTTGTGCTTCCTTTTTGCATTGTGCTTTGATTTCTCTAACCTTTTGTTTTTCTGAACATGATTGTCATATTGAGCTTTCACAGCTTGACGTGAAGACTCGTCTCCTTTAAGGTAGGTGACACATAGGTCTTTTTGGGGTCGGTGGATGGATAAATTCTTCTCCTTAAACACGCTCTTGTAAAAGACAAAACTTGGTGGCTCTGGCTTTGGTTTCCTCTCTTCTAAGAACATATACATTTTTCTCTTTATCAAGTCTGGACTGAGATATTCTCTTGAAGACGATGCTCTAAAGAAGTGTGACTCAATCATCGGGAACCTGTCAATGTGATCAGCCACCGCTTTTCTTATCTTTTGTTTTTGTAGAATCGCCGCCTTTGATTGAACTTCACCTCTCATTTCTCCTTCAATCGTCCCTGATGAAGTGACTTTGTTCAGAGCAGTACGCTTGAATTGCTCTGATATCCCAAGAGTGTTGAGAAAAAACACATTACAAACTTGAACACTTTTGAAATCAACAGTCTGAAAGTACTGCCTGGTTTGTTGCCTTCGAGATGTCTGTACATTGCTTGCTCTTTTCTTGGGTACGCATTTGATGTGTCTGGCTAGATAATATTCTCTTTGAAGACTGAGGTTCCCCAATGCGTGGTATGCGTCGAAGAATGCCTGCTTCTGTTCATCACTGATGGATGAGCTTTGGCGTTTACACTGGACAGTACATGTTGGCTTGCATCTTTGTTTCATCTGCCTTCTTCCGACTATCTATTTTGTTGCAATGCTCATTATATTCTTGTCCATGATTTTGTTTTCGCTTGGCCTCTTTCTGTTTGTTCAACCTAGGCACTTTCTCCCGTGAGACCTCTCTTTCACTGCCTTCTACTATGTAGATCTAATCCTCAGGCAGGCACTCTACTGCTGCAAGATTATTTTGATTCCCATTTTCATTTGCTTCTCTGGTGACTGCCATCTCATTTATGTCAGTATCTTGCGTTCTTGGACTCTCAATCCTTCTCCTCTTCTTCTTTGTGCAATGTCCGTGCTGATGACATGAAGAGACATCCTGTTGCAAATGATCAAAACAAAGCAAATTTTCACATTCAGGACAGGCTGCCCACACTTCTGCTTTGCACCCTCTCACCTCACACTGACCTGGGCTATATTCTGGTTCTCTGTTTGAGTCATAATCATGTTCTGACACATCGTCGCAGTTTGCTTCTTTCTTAGTGCTGGCCACATCTCCCCGAATATCATCAACGCACTGATCCAAAACAATCATTTCTTTTTCCTCACAGGTACCGGTACCTTCAGCGTCCTCATTTTGCATTTCAAAATCGAACTCGCCAATCCCCCTAGCTCCTTCATTCGAATGCCTTTGTCGTTTAATTTCTCTTTCAGAGCAGAAAGGGGTATGTCATAATCAGAATCACTGTCTGCCATTCCGACGTAGGCTTAGTTTCCAAATGTTTCCTGAAACGACACAGATACAACTCGCAACATATGCTCTTTGCTTATAATATTAATAATATGTGTACCACCGCATTGGTGTAATGATAAGGCTCTTTCTTCGCCTAGCATGCGGAAGACCCGAGTTTGATCCCAAGTGTGGACGATCTGCATTTTTTCTTCTGCTGAGACTTTTCCCCCTCTCAGCCTCGGTGTTCACTTGTCTGACGCTATTTCGTGAAATGAGAGTGGCAAACGAAACAAAACAAAAAATTACAGAAACCACGTACAAGCGTATCGTCCCTTACGCTCCTACATGTACGTGTTTTCGCAAACAAGAAACTTTTCCTTTACGCTAGTAGGTGTATCTGTAATATGTCGGTAACAGGGGTGGCTCGTGGGTCTAAAAAGTGGGCGTGCTCGATTAAGCTATTTAAGGTTGAGGATAGTCAAGGGCCTAGTAAATGAGATGGTGTATAATCTTAGGATCTTTGGGTTGTTGGGGGAGAACCTTGTGATTCTATTTTCATTCTTTTTATTTGTGGCTTTGACTTCTAGAGCTAAATCTGTTTGATAGCTAAACGTCAATTTAATTCATCCTGCATTAGAACTGACCACTCAAGCTATACGTTTCACCACTCCACTACAAAACCGTTCAAAAGCACAACTCATAGGACGATGGATGACTTAAGTATGTCACGTTCACCTCTCTCGGGTTCACGGTCACATAGTCACGTAAAATAGTGACAAGACAATGAACCAATCAGAATTCACTTGAGCACTCCGCTGGATTGCTCCGGGGCTCACATAATTTGGGCATAGAATAGTGCGCAGTCTATCGCGTTTATTTTTAGATTGCCTACTGTGGGCTATGTTTTGGTACTATTCGTAGGTCAGGTTTCCACTGTTGAATATCCTGTTATGATTAGATACAGCTCATGAATTTTGACATGGCATAGTAGATGTTTTACCGCACTATAGACACAGAAATGACAGTTACGGCGCCACCGAAGACCTTGTTTTGATATAATATTTGGCTAGTGTTTATTTCTGGCGCCTTTTATTTTATTTTTTGTGTGTTTTCTTTACGTAATAGAACATTAAAACATTTAGGGCGGCACTGCACGACCGTGCTCTATAGACGAACCGCGCCTGGTCGGTAACTAAAGCTGGCATCGATTCCCCGATTTGACATAACATTCGTATTGTTATATCTGTAATCGAGCAGTGGTTCTAACTCGATTTTGACTAAAATGTTAGATACGCTTAGTACGTGATTACAATCTCCAATGGTCACCCACCTCCGCCTCATCGCCGACATATTATGCTTGACATAAATTTATCACATGTATAGGCGATAACTCTCTAATCACTCGGCCACTGAAGAGTCAGCAGTCGCTAGGAAAAAATATTGAAAAGAAAAAAAAATGCCCAAAGAGTAAACATTAGGTCGGTATGGGGGCGGGGGGTGGGGGGTTGTTGTTGTTTTTTCTGTTTGGAGGTGGGGTTTTTTGTTTATGTTTTGGAGGGGTTTTTTTGGTTTTGATTTTGGTTTTGCTTTTGGGTTTATTTGTTTGTTTGTTTGTTTGTCTTGTGTTGTTGGGGGGGAGGTGTTGGAAGGGGGTGTTAACGTCCCACTGTTGCCACTTTTGAGAGGTTAAAATTTTTGTATCGCCCACCAACATGTATTTCCAAGCGGGGCATAAAATAATGCCTGCCACTATAACCTGTGTGATTCTCACCGCTCATTATTACCAAAAATATCACCCAGGTTCGAAAATTCTGTTTTAAATGTATACAGGGAGGCGGTACCGGTACGCTTACTTTGAGCTTTCTGCATTGTTCTTAACTGCTATAAGAATTACTTTTCTTTCGACTGTTGTTTGTATCCGATTCATGGCAAATGGCTTTCGTGATAACATTTAAATGTTATCTTATTGTCTGTTCTGACAGACCCAGCTGGAGAGCTGAATTCACAGTGGGCAGCAAATCATATGAATGAAGCTTCCCCAATAAGAAATAAATGTTGAAACCAAGGGTGAAATATTCTCCTCTGCGGATGTTTTAGTCATCGTCAGACATTGACGGACTCTTATTATTGATGTTGATAATGTTGTTTTTTGGGGTTTTTTTAATCAGGCCTCTTAAGGGGGGGGGGGGCTGGTTTTAAATTGAAGATTTTTGGTCAATTTATGGTCTCCGGACTTTTTACGTATCATAATACTCCAATCACTTGTAAATCTAAAAAGTGTTTAGTCTTTGTGTTACAATCATTATCTTTCAGATTTTCTGTCTTAGAACTTTTATTTTGCCTACTATGTAACAGAATGTCGGGGTTTTTTCTCAAAACTTTAATTTTTGATGTTTTTTCTCATCTACTTTCTTATTTTCTTTTTGATTCCAATGACATTTTCATGGCCTTGTTATTCATACTATAACCTAAGTTTATACAGGTGGAAAATAAAATCGATTCTTTCATGAGTGAGTTACATGGATGAATATGTAATCGAATTCAAAGGCATGAGGGGGCAGGTCAGTTATCCATCTCCAACTGTTTTCCTATTTAAGATATCCAAGATCCCAACAGTCTGAAATTTTGTATTGAGTATATCTATCAGTGTACCAAATTTGGTTGGTAAAAAAAAAATCAATTTTACTTTTATGAAAGCCGTTTATTTTCAATATGGTGGCCGTTACCATGGCAACCTTAGACTTAGACAAAAAAATTAAAGTTACATTTTACATATGTTTTCCTGTGATACCTCCTTGCTATAGGGCTTTATCTAAAAAGGCCATAGTTACCGAGATGGGTATATAAACCACCCCACCCCCCCCACCCCCCTTAAGCATTTATTCGACACCTTTCGCCGAGAAAATGTTAGATTAGTTCTACTATGGACTTTGATGAAGACAACTTTTCTGACTTTTCAGCAATACTTATTTTTGTTCTTGACCCGCGCATGGAGTACCTTTTATGAAACGAAGTTTGTTCTTGTCGATTTATGATTGGTACCAGAGCACTTGACAGACCAGTGCGACTCCTAGACTAGACGCAATCATGCACACTGGACGAGTTGAACAGATGACCATTCCTTTAAGTTTTGATTGTCATTTTATTTTGCAGGCTTCCACTACAGCGAAGAGGTCCATGAGGTGTTGGAGGAAATCAGTATCCGTCTCACAGAGCCTAACATTAACACCATGCTCACCAACATCGCTGGTCTGAAAGAGAGACTAGGTTCGTAATAGTAGTAATAATAACAATGAAAAATAACAACAATAAAATTAATAATAAAACAATGATAATGATAATGATAATGATAATCAGAAAATTATAATAACAATGATAATAATAATGATGATAATAATAATAATAATAATGATGATAATAATAATAATAATAATAATAATAATAATAATAATAATAATAATAATAATAATAATAATAACAAAATAATAATATTGCGAAAACAGCAATAGCAGTAGCAATAGAAATAGCAATAGCATAGTAATAAGAATATTAGTAATGGTAATATTGATATTGATAATAATGATAGTAATAATTACAATAATGATAACAATGCATTTACATCATGCTCTATGCGTTTTACAACCATTATTACTTATTATCCTAAAACACTCAGAAACTTTCGCAGCTTCCAGAGAATCATTATATTATGTACGCACATCGTGACTGCTATTATAGTGTGGCCGTTTTGGTGATGACTCGTCCTAGCGGTAAAACCAGTTCCAACGCCGGTGTGTCCCCATGCTGAAAGACGACATTCCCTCACTCATTTAAACTGTCCACTTATTCTGCAACTTCGCAGAAAAATGAAGAGAAAACATATTTTGAATTGGTAGACTTTGACCGTTAGCAGAACAAGTAAATTGAGGAGTAATTTGTTATAACTTGAAAACTTCAGTCATTTGATTTATTATGCATTCAATTGCAGCATTTGAAAAATTGATCATTGAGATGTTAAAGGGGTGCCACTTTTAAAGCTGTCCCGTTTTTTTAATACAAAAGGTTAAACCCTTACAAAATGATTTAGTAATGGATATGAAGAGAACGCATCATTGTTTAGCTAGGTATTATGTGGAGTTCCATGGATTTTACGAATTATGGTTCGAGACCTTTATGTGGAGTTCTTGAACTTGAGTTTTTTAGTTTTTAAAGAATATTTATAGCCTTCTGCCCACGTGGAATGGTACTTTCGTACGAGGTTGTCATGGCACTGACCTCGCCCATACCTAGTTCCCTAGTGGTGTTGAAAGGGGCGTTAAACCTATATTTTTAAAGCATAATAAGGCGTGTCAAATTCTTTTTTCCTCGAGTGTGTTCATAGAGTCTTCTCTAACGTATCCTGTAGTGGTCGGCTTGGCTGCAGACACCTCTTCAAAACTGTCAAAGTCATGTTGACAGAGAGGTATGGTCAGGAAACCAAATCAACGTGTCTTGCAGTTGTTTTTTCAAAAGTTCCAGTGAAGAACAAAACCTACCACCGTTTGGGGTGTAATGGTTAGACTCTTCCTTGTTGACTCAGGAATCCTCTCCCGACGAGAAGCAAATCTGTTTTACCGAGCACGTGGATCTGAATCTCCATCTTCTTTTTGGTATGCTGAATCCACATTCACGCCAATCGTGAGGAAAACATTTTTAGGTTGAGCGCTTGAGAAGGCTTTAAGTTTAAGTAAAATTTGTCGAAATCTATCAGACCCCATCGGGTAAGAAATCAAACAAAAACAAAGAAACAAACAAAACAACCACCCTCCCAAAACAACAACAAAAACAAACAAACCAACAACAAAAATCTGATGAGCTCCAGTACAACTGGCCGACCCGCGATAGCTAGTTTTCATGTCTTAGTGTTTCAGACTCCCTTTACTCTATTAATTACTGCCACTTATTGAAACTGAGCTCCCTCCTTTACGTTTCCTAAATAATTCCTAGCATTTTGACCGAATTATCGAAATTGAATTTTGTAAAAAAGTAGGCCCTTGAGCATAAAACTCTCTCGCCCATTGTCCCATTTATGTCTTAAACTCTCTATCCCTCTCCTCTCAGAGACAGGTATTGACGTCATAGAGTTTGGCTGTGGTTCTGGACAGCTGCTGGCAAGTCTGGCCACCAGTTACCCCAAGAGCCGCTTCACGGCGTCCGACGTGGCTCCGGAACTTGTCGACAAGCTGCGCGGGAAATGGGGTCACCTGGCCAACATGTCCTTCGAGATACACAACCTGTGTCGTTTGGGAGAAACCATGCAGAAAAAATATGACTGGGTCTACTCGGTCAACGTTATTCACGACCTCTCGAAACCGCAAGAGGCGCTCGACGGCATGCGGGGAATTGTGGAGGAAGGAAATGGGGTGTGCTCTGTCATCGAGCCTTGCATGAGCCAGACTGGTGCTCACGCGGAAAGTGTTGGGAACTCAGCTGTTGCTGCCTTCTACGGGGTAAGCACCTTCATGTGTGTCCCCGAGAGCTTCCAAGAGGACAACAGCGTTGCCCTGGGTATGTGTGTGGGCAAAAAGGGTATTGTCGATAGGTTGCTGAAGGCGAAGTTCAAAGTAGAAGACTTTAAAGCCCTGACTTGAATGCCCTGTATGTCTGCACACCCGTTTGATGACATGAGGCACAGATTATCATGCTGTATATTCCACATACAGTGTACTTATTAAGAAAATCAAGGACTCTTTGTGCTGCAATTGAGACAGACAGACAGACAGACAGACAGACAGACAGACAGACAGACGGACGGACGGACGGACGGACGGACGGACGGACGGACGGACGGACGGACGGACGGACGGACGGACAGACGGACGGACGGACGGACAGACAGACAGACAGACAGACAGACAGACAGACAGACAGACAGACAGACAGACAGACAGACAGACAGACAGACAGACAGACAGACAGACAGACAGACAGACAGACAGACAGACAGGCAGGCAGGCAGGCAGGCAGGCAGGCAGGCAGGCAGGCAGACAGACAGACAGACAGGTGGGGGGGGGGAGAATTTATTACATGTATTTAGTTCTTTCCCTGGTATTAGAGATAAGAAATGAAAACAAATTTAGTACAAGATTAAGCTTGTACAGATCTGCTGCTGAACATGTTAAAGTTGACATTGCTCACATTTTTTCTTTAGTTGATTCCTGTTAGGTGCATGCGCCTGTATTCAGAGTCCACCAACTCAAGTTGGGCCAAGGCGGTTGTATTCAAGGTCCAGTGTAACTTCCTAAAGTTTACGTAAACCAGAGCCTGTTCTCATGCGCTTTATATAACAAAAGTGCGGCATACAAAATGATACGCCAAATATGCCGGTCCTTTATGTATCTGTATTAACTACTTAGGTAAGCCACTTCAGCGTTATAACGTAACATTAATTCAATCAGCTTCATTGCC